TCTTTATACTCGACTTTGGCTCAGTCTATTTGAACTGGTCAGATCAACATTTATAACCAATATCATATCTATGTAAATTTCGAAGTAAATTTATCAATTCTCTTGCTTCGGGTCTATGACAAATCTTTTGAAATGGCCATTGCTAATCATAATTGGAAAAAATTACAATGTAATCAGGTCCACTCTCTTTTCGTATGGTAATATTTCTCATAAAATTCATTATTGTAAAATGAGAGATGTAAGCTGGGAGGGTCGACGCCACTTTTTTCGGACGTTTGCTCTCGAGGCTTATTGATCACCCAATTCTGAATATTGAAGGTCGGATACAACTTAAGCGCTTCGAACTTCAATTTATTTTGAAAGTTGAACAAGAACTTCCCATTCTTCGTGAAATCGTTTTTCGCGTATGCGAAAAATGTCGAGGGAGTAATGAGGGGGCATCGATCCATGTGTACGATCGTTGGGAAATACGTTCAGGGATTTATTTGATAAAGGATGCTATCCCAGCATATTATGCGCTTTTTTTCATTAGTATGCACGGATTCCTTACTTATGGATAATACCGCCATGATACAAGATTAGGCAACAGAATTATCCAAAAATTTTGTACAAAGCAAGAAGAGATGTTGTTACTTATTGAGACTGACCTGGGTTTCCATATATGCATAATTCAAGGCTGAGTGGTTCATTTTCCGAAGAATGCAGCAATAAAGAACGCAGCTGAGCAGATTTGCGTTCAGTGGCAGAAACTGTTCCAGAAGAAGCAAAAAGGACTTCAAAGAATAAACAGCTGCGGTTTAAATCAATAAATTTTGTTAAATATGCGCAAACAAATGTGCGATTGATGTCTGTTGCATCTTTTTAAATTTATTATACACGTAATGAATTCGTCCTTGACTCCTAAAGAGTTTGACTCAGACATTCTGAAGCCTGTGACAGATAATTGCATTCGAGTGCTGGTCACTATTTATCTGTTTCTCCCTAATTTCAATCCTGCACAAAAACCATCTTTTACCGACTGCGAGTTCTCCCTTTCGCACATTTTCTGTGGCTTAATGGATAATTTTTTCTGAACATATGTAGCTTTTTTGCCCTACAAAATCCGTTCACCATGACAGTCGATCTTCCAAATGTCATTTTGATAAGGCTGTACCCACGTACAAGTTCTGATTTCCGAATCCTAAGCAGCCATGATTGACACCTTAATCAAAAACAGTTCTTTCTATCCTACATGTTAGTCAAGTAAATTTCTGTCCAATACTTTGAATTTTCGAGATCTTTGATTGTTAACGGAGTCTGCCGTTCTAAATGAAGTAATCGGTTGATGGGAAGATATAAATTCTCTCGTCTTTATTTAAGAAACTCTTCTTTATCATTTTGAATAACTTTTCTACAAGGTTTGCTTAGTTCTGATCTTGAAATTCATACTGACCTTAAATTAATCCATTTTCTCTTTTCAAACATTTATGAGGATCATCTAGTCACGACCGTTTCATTTCAAAATGTCAAAAAGGATAGTCAAGAATAGTAAATG